ATTCGAACGTATAAAAAACTAATTTGATTAAGAAAGCTCTATGAAAATATCTAGTTGTGGTTCAGTACTTTATACAATGTAAGAAATATATTATTTGAATTATATATTATATTATATCCAACTTTGGAAACTAATCTTTTCAGTGTAACTTCTAACTTGACTCTAGTATTTTATCTGTGTTTTTTAAATGTTTTGACAGGGTTCATCTTTGAAACTTGGACGGGGAAAGGCTAAGGATGGTCAGACTGGCCCATTCTCTGCGAGAAATCAAAAGCAGGCCTGCAGAGGCAAATAAAGCAATGAAAGGCAGATATCTACTAAACGCTGCTCCTTCGTGCTGCCGAACAAACAAGCCACAGGGGGCGTGGCAAGGGGCAAAAGACATATGCAAATGGCCAGACTCATCCTCATCCTCGTCCTGGGCCAACTTAAGTGGTTTCAGCTCGGCAGCGATGTGATGCCTACGACGATATGATATGATTATGTTAAATGCCCGTTTTGTTTGCTCACTCACTCGCAGGGAGTTGGTTGGTTGGTTGGTTGGTCATTGGGCAGCTGCTACCCGTTGTAGTTGTCGCCGTCGTCGTCGTCGTCGTCATGCTCCCTTAACTGATTCCCCGTGTCGTGGACAAAAAGGAGCAGCCTCCGTTGGCTTTCGACTGCATTCAGTTCGGTTTCAAGTTGACGATTTCATAATTCAATTTACAAGATAAGGGCCCACAACGGAGCCACAAAAGCAAAAGCAGAACCAGATTCCGAATCCGATTCGGAATCGGAATCAGCCAACCAACAAGCGGCCACCGTTTTTGGGGCGTGTTGTCAAAAGAAGACAGCGAGCAAAAAGTAAACAAAACATTCGGGGGGAAAAAATCACATTGAAAAACCTTTTAATTAATTATGCATCAGCGATTGTGTTTAAATAAAACGAAGCTCAGTCAAATCGGATTCAGAGATTTTTGTTTGTTTGTTAGTTGGGCGGGGGAAATCGCAGAGCAGATCACCAGCTGCCAGTGACAAACGCGCATTACGCATACGCCAGGATGAGCCCGTGTAGATGAGGCCGATTAGATAACACAGATAACTCTGTGTTCTCTAACGTATTAACTCAACTATTGTCCGCTTCGTTTGGGATTATCGCTTGATTTATAATCTTAATTGTACAGCAGTCATATTAATAACGATGGAATCATTACTAGTTAAGAAACCTATTATTTTAGATAACTGGTAAGTTGTTATTAGTTTTTAAAATAATCATTGATTACAAGTTAATTGTAAGAAAATGGCTTCGTTTAAAAAAAATTTAATTAAAACCAAAAAGCAGTTTAAAAATCGTCGTTTTTACCAAAATTATTGATACTGAACTTTCACCCATAAGCACTAAAATATCGGTTTTCTGCCGAAAAAATTTCAAAAAATTGTTCTAATATGGAATGCCATACATCGTTGAATTCGTAATTGAATTTCCAATCGATTGGCATTCAAACATAAAAAAAATTTTTTTTCCTAATTTTTGCAAATTTGACGATGTTACCCCTTATCAAAAATGATAAATTTTTGAAAAAAATTTTTTTCTAAAACTTATTGAAATTGATAATTTAGGTCGTCACTTTTACGAAACAGTCAGTCTTATACTTGTGGGTCCAATTTTGACGAAGATATCGTGAAAAAACCTCCGAAAATGGCTCATTTTGATCAAAGTCAACAAAATATGATATGTGAAATATGAACTTACTTAAGTTAACCACGAAAACAATAAAATAAAATACTATATTTTGTTACAGTGCATGCTTTTTGTTGTTTAGTTTTATAATAGATGTAATCTAAGATCAACCCTTTAACATTTGCCAAACTTCGTGTCCGAGCCTTCAGCATTTGTTCATTGACTCGGAGAAAGAGTCTTCAATCAGTGCATTTGTCAATGGGTCGTCAGCCATGTCGGCAGCAGCATGACTTCTGACACGATCGGAGGTGGAGGGGGGGTTAGAGCTATATAGAAAGATATAGGGAGGGACAGAGGAGGGTTACCCATATGCCCACATCCAATTTGACGGATGCACAGGGGTTGGGGCGCAAGTTAGAAGCCATCATAATTTAAACATGAGTGTTGGCTGCCACTGCGCACTGGGCTAACAATAATGCGGTTGTGGCCGGGTTTTATGGCTCTGCGGTTCTGAAGCTCTGAAGAGGATGAAGAGGATCGATCCAGGCCGAGGAGCTCTGGCGAGAGGGTCGTCCATTTGGCGGCCTTATCAGCGACGGCGATGGCAGATTAATCGGGCCCGATAAGAGCGAACCCTGGGATGTGGACACGATGACGGGCACGATGACGAGTGCGGATGATCGACCAGAAGAATGGAGTGCTGGCGATGATGATGACGGTATATGGTAGCTCTTCCTCCCCGTTCGGATCGACGTGCCTGTTCTCCTATCGCTTCTTTGTTGTACGATTTTTGTTTTATATTCCCATTTTTTCGGGGTTATCCCCCGGCCCCGTCATTTTCGATCGGACTTTGGTGAAAAGGTGTGCCTGGGTTATGCGAAATATGCGTGGCGTTGTCGATCGGATCGGCTCGAGGGATCTGCACTGCCAATGGCCCAAAGTGGTTTAGATTAAAGGGTTTAGTTCTCTGTCTTGTGTTATTTTATTTTGGGGCGTTATTTGCTCAGCGAGACGTGCGACTGCTTTTGACTTTGGCTTCGGGCTTTGGGCTCTGGGTTTCTCGACTGCAGGAAGATCGATCTGGCCGATCGGTCGGTCGGTGCACCTCATTGACCTCTCTCCCTGTCCATCTTTCCCCTTCCCTTTCCCCTTCCTCGTCATCTTGGCATTTCTGTTGTTGTGCCAGCTGAACATCTGTCGATCTTGTTTGGCGATAATTTGAATTGAGTTTTCTCTCCAAGTTGGCCAGCCCTCACATGTGTAAAAAGTCCAGAGCATTGTTCAAGTTCGGTGGAGGAGGAGGAGGAGTTAAGGGGTAAGGCCGGGAGGCGTGTTAATAACAGAGCTCATCCTCGTCAAATGGAGGCACACACAAGAATGACACCGGATCTAGGCAAAGTGCAAAGCTTTCCCACTGCACTCAGAAAAAACACAACAAATTATACTTATTTCGGTTACCCTTCCTTTTTAATGGTTAGCTTAATGAATATTCAAAATGTACTACATACAAATATATGTATCTTATTTTGGGGGCTACAAAAAAACATAATTTAAAAACATCATTTATAAATGTATTTTAGGAACAGACTTATCTTTTTAGTTAAGCCAGAAGCTATCTAAAGATGTTGACAACCTTATTATATTTTCAACCATATTTACACAATAATTTGTATTACATTAAGCTATATTGATGTCCAAAATATGCCAAATATATTAAACTATATTTATATAAAGAAAATTCTTACGAAAGTATCAATAGAAACCTTGTTTCTATGGTAATGCAAAATACCTATAATTTGTTGTATGAGTTTAATTTATTAAAACCAATATTTTCGCAACACAGTTTGAGACTGTGTTTGGTGAGAACTCTTCTTTGGGTGTACGTGCACCTATACCTATAATAACTCCCCCAGAACGTGTCACCTGAAAGGTGGAATGGGTTAAGGTAAGCGAAGGGGAGCGGAGTGTAGTGGTGGGTCCAACCAGGAGGAGGAGGAACAGAGTCCCAGAACCTCAGCCAATCCGCCGAGCACGTTCAAGTCGTTTTCTCGCAATTAACGCGAAATTCTACGAATTGTTTAATTAGAACTCCAGTTTCAGTTCTCAGTTTTCAGGTTCCATCTTCGGGTCTGCGAGTTCTCTGGACTCCGCAACCGCAACCGCTGCACGTTTGTACGAGTATCTCGTGGTTCTTGTTGTTTGGGGCTGCATAATCTTTTTTGTAAACATGAAACTCGCGCCATTATATCGAGGCAACGTTTGCCAGCCAACTTGAGAATGGAATGGTATGGTATGGCCAAGGTATGGGGAGATCTTGGCCAAAAAGACCTGGCTGCTTTTTACATGTTACTGTGCCTGCGCTGCGCCGTGTGGCAACGATTTTAAATTTAAAATCTGTGAATTTGAAGCAGTTTATCGAGACTGCAGCGACTGGGAACTCTGCCTCCTCGTCCTTCGCTTAGGTGTTGTTGCTGTGCCTGATTCTGGCGGCCGATTAAATCATTAAATATTCCGATTGTGTAGCGTTATAATGAAATGTTTTTAACGCTTGTCTGATTTGGAATTATGCAGGGAATTAAAGGATCTCTCCCTCTCGCTGCCTTTTATTTGCTGAGCAAAGGAACTCCTTTTTATGTGGAACATGTTGGTCGGTTGTCTCCGATAAGCAAAGATGTGCAAGGCATTTGATGCATTTACTGGGTATTAAAGACCTAAAGTCACTTGGCTTTCACAAATGTTATGTTAAATTGAAAAACTTTAAAGTACAATATCAATTTGATATCATTAATAACGTATATTCCTCTAGCAGAGTCATAATGAGTAGAGCCATTCTCATATGATATAAACCAATGACTACTGATGATAGTCTAATGATAATGACAGCCAATTTTTAGTATCTCGGTAAACAAAAAGCTTGGTGCTTTAGAAGAGATTTAACAACAAAATATACGAGTCATAATTAAATTCATTCTGGATGCTGGAGACAATGTACCAAAAGAAATATGCGATCCCCGTTTAATAGAGGAATCTAACCAAGCTTCTTGAAATATGAATTTTGCATATCAATTTCTAGGTTTTTTATGGCCATAAATTATCTCTTAGCTTTTGAACAAAAACAAATTTATATTTTCTTATTTTCAGGTAGAATTTGAAACTATTTTTGTGTTTCGGAACGTGCAACAATTGGCACTCAAGCCTAACTGGCATTTCTTCCGTCAATTTATCTTAAAAGAGAAGAAGCTTTTCTCTAAATCTTTACAAAGTTCACGACCACTTTTTCTACAGTTCTCTGATTAGTCAGTACAACCCCTTCTTTCAGAGAAATATTCTTAGTCCGCAAAAGATAAGCAGAAAGCTGAAAAATATATATATTAAATGTAAATGGGTTATTTTCTATATATAATACTGCTGCCAGTGGTCATTGTTCTGGGGAATATCGATTCCGAGCTACCCTGCTATGGACACAACTGCACTAGTACAAATATAACCAAAGGTTCTGACCCAAGGAACATACGTCTGTACTCCTGCGACAACCTTGGAATCCTCAAACGCTCCCCTAATCTAAAATCCGTCATGATCGACAATTGCAATAGTGATAATATCGATATGGCCAACTTTGGTTCTTTACGTACATTAATCTACCTAGTATTGCAACACGGCAATCTGCCTAAGCTAAACGATGAACAGTTTTCCAAGATGCCAGGTCTTAAGACTCTTGAGCTGAGGAATAACTCCATCGTTAGGATTTCCGCTGGAGCCTTCAAGGGAATTCCGGAAGTGTGGAAGCTCGAACTGCAGCACAATGAAATTGTGTCTTTGCCGACTAGTGTATTCCATCCTCTTCCACAACTCACTGACCTTGACCTAAGTGGAAACAAAATCGCAACCCTTCAACGTGAAATATTTGATAAAAATCCACATTTATTATGGCTATCACTAGAGGATAATCCGTTGACTAATGTATTGTCTATATCTTTGAAGCACCTTGTCCAACTGAACCTGATCAATTGTAGCCCGCTGAAGGAGCTGCATTTGCAGACAGCTAGTTCTGTGAGACTCAGAGATTCCAGGATAAGCCGATTGGATATTGTTGGTGGTGCTGAAGGACTCTTTTTGCAAAAGAACCGTCTCGAAAATATCCAAATTGGAGACAAGATGGCTGTCACCATTTTGGACCTGAGCGATAACATGTTGCTTACTTGGGATCTTCAAAATATACTTGTGGGAATGTGGAGACTTCTGTTCCTGAATCTTTCCTGCAACCTTATCCGCGAGTTACCCGTGCCCAAGAGGGACAATTCCAGTAAGGAGTTTCTTCTTCCTTCGTTACAATCCCTGAATTTGTCCTTCAATATGCTGGAATACCTTCATGGTGATTCGCCTCTAATATCGCCTGATCTTACAAACTTGGACCTGTCGCACAATAATATTTATATCATAGAGCCTCACATCTTTAGCATGGTAAAAAATCTAAAAATCCTCCATATTGAGTGGAACTCCATTAGAGACTTCGGATTCGATCGCTTTTACAACCAGCACCGAGGACTTAGGGAGGTGGCCTTCTACGCAAACGATTTCAACAATAAAACATACAGAATCATAACAAATTTCTTTAGGAATGCTGGTGTCAACGTAATAGAAAAAATCTATTATTCCCGCTACTCACGGAAATATGAACAATCACCGAAAAAAGAGGACTCCAAAGAAGTTAGTTTGCCCTTTAGAGGGATGTGATCCATAAAGTGCAACTTTGACTATACGAACCTTCTTGAACTGTCTTTCTCTTTTTTGTGACATCGAACTCTCCTTCACAACAAAATACAAGTTCGTCAGCCTTGAAAATCGAGAAATATAAAAATAAACTAGTATTGTAATGATTATTTATAAGTATAAACAATAAAAATATAGATCATGAAAATAAAACTAGTAATAGGTAGAGGTAGTTTGATCCAAGGAAAGCTTGAGTTCTAGTCTAATTGTTTAGGAGTCAAATAGAGCTAGGCTGGTCAGCAATAAACTATTTCTTAGCTTCTGTACAAAAAAATTTTAATATTTATATTTTCAGGCAGAACTTTTGACTATTTTTGTGTTTCGCAACATTTTGTCAACGTGCACCAATTGGCACCCAAGCCTAATTGACATTTCTTCTTTCAATTTATCTTGAAAGAGAAAAAGCTTTCTTTAAATTCTTCAAAGTTCACGACCGCTTTTTGTGCACTTGTCTGATTAGTCAGTACGACCCCTTTTTTCAGAGAAATATACGTAGTCCGCAAAGTTAAGCTGAGTGCGGAAATAAATTGTAAATGGGTTATTTTCTATATACTTGTATATTGCTGTTGCCAGTTGTCATTGTTCTGGGGAATACCGATTCCGAGCTACTCTGCCATGGAGACAACTGCACCAAAACAAGTATCGACAATTTTCCTGACCCAAGGGCTAATATGTTGAACGCACGTCTGTACTCCTGCGACAACATTGGAATCCTCAAACGATCACCTAATCTAATATCCGCGATGATCGACAATTGCAATACTGATTATATCGACATGGCCGACTTTAGTTCTTTAACCAAATTAACCTGCCTAATATTGCAACGCGGCAAGCTTACCGAACTAGGCGATGAACAGTTTTCCAAGATGCCAACCCTTAAGACTCTTGAGCTGAGGAATAACTCCATCGTAAGGATTTCCGTTGGAGCCTTCAAGGGAATTCCGGAAGTGTGGAGGCTAGACATGCAGCACAATGAAATTGTGTCTTTGCCGACTAGTGTATTCCATCCTCTTCAAAACCTCATTGACCTTAACCTAAGAGGAAACAAAATCGTTAAACTTCAATATGAAATATTTGATCAAAATCCACATTTATTATGGCTGTCACTACAGGACAATCCGTTGACTAATGTATTGTCTATATCTTTGAAGCACCTTGTCCGTCTGAACCTGATCAATTGTGGCCCGCTGAAGGAGCTGCATATGGAGAGTGCTGAAACCGTGAACCTGAGAGATACCTGGATAAGGCGATTGGATATTGATGGTGGCGTTAATTCACTCTTTTTGCGAAAGAACCGTCTTGAACATATCCAAATTGAAGACAAGTTGGCTGTGACTTTGATGGACCTAAATGATAACTTGCTGCGAACTGAGGATCTTCAAAATATTCTTATGGGTATGTGGAGACTTCAGTTCCTGGATCTTTCCTGCAACCTAATCTCTGAGTTACCCGTGCCCAAGAGGGACAATTCCAGTGAGGTCTTTCTACTTCCCTCTTTACAATTTTTGAATTTATCGTTCAATATGCTGGAGTACCTTCACGGCGATTCGCCTCTAATATCGCCCGGTCTTCGAAAATTGGACCTGTCGCACAATAGTATTCGTATCATAGATCCTCACATCTTTCGTACGGTAAACAATCTCCAAAGCCTACATATTGAATGGAACTCCATTAGAAACTTCAGATACGATCGCTTTTACAGCCAGCACCGAGGACTTAAAGAATTGGCCTTGTACGCGAACGTTTTCAGCAACAAAACATACAGCATTATAACCAAATTCTTTAAGGATGCTGGTGTCAAAGTAATAGAAAAAATATATGATTCTCGAGTCTTACCGGAATCTGAGTCATTTACGGAAAGCGAGGACTCCACGGAAGTAAGTTTGCAACTTTGACGAGACGAAAACAGCTTGAACTCGATTTCTCATTTATGGGACAACTAACTCTCCTCGGACAACAAAAGCCATGTTTTTCAATAGCCAAGACTCCAAAATATAAATATAAACTATGTATTCTAACGCTTTTTTATAAATATAAAAAAATAAATAGAATTTTTAATCATGCAAATAAAACTAGTAATAAAATTGTTTACCAGAATTAAGATGTAAGTCTATGGCTTAAAATAATTTTACTATCATAATCTACTAAAAAATTTAAAATGTCGTTTAAAGAATATAATATATTTCAACAATATATGTTAACGGTAATTGGCCTTGCTTCTGCCTTTGAATGCGCGCCAATAAATAGTAGACTATCGATTAGTTGCGCGATCGATATCTTTAAACTCATGCAAAACATCTTATTCATTCCATCTCTAATTGGTTAATTGGCTTTTTGCGCGTTGTTTTTAAAATCATATAAATGTTTTCTATTGTGAATCGAATATAAAGCAGCAAATGGCTTTACCGCGTTTGGAACATAATAATCGTGATAATTTTTCTAAAAAGAAAATCTTCATATTTTATTTTATTTTATTTTATTTATTTTCGCTAATCTTCTTTTTAGTTTACTACTAACTACTGTAATGCTCTTTTTTTTTTTTTTTTTAGCACGCGCCTATTTAACGGCCATATATCTTGGAGAGCTTTAGATCTTATAAATTTGACCTGGGAAATAAATATTGCTGCCCTTTATATTATTATTACTCGGAGCATAGTGAACCTGCGCTTATTGTGACTTGGACAATACAATTCCCGTCAATTGATTTTAAAGCACAAAGCTCGTAGCCTCAGATAGAATCTGAGATTATTGTGCACTCAGAATCTCGTTGCAATCGTTTCATTAAGGGACTGATAAGAAATGGAAAAATAAGTCGAAAATAAATAGAAATAAAGTATAAATGGATAGTTTTCCATATCTCTTGCTGGTAGCAGCTGTTGCTGTAGTGGGTACCACCGATTCCGAACTTCCCTGCGAAGGATCCAATTGCACCAGTACAGAGATGACTACGTATTATGGCGAACAAATCGGATTTGGTCGAATGGACATCATTAGGGCTTCCTGCAGCCACCTACGAGGGCTGAAAGTCCCACCCAATGTGGAAATTTTGATGATAAACAATTGCACCAGTGGTGACCTCCACAACCTTCCCTCTCTACCGAAACTTAGCATTCTGCGGATCCGAAACGGCAATATTTCTGAGCTGAGAGACGAACAGTTTGCCGTCATGACAGGATTGGGCACTCTCGAGCTGAGGAATAACTCAATATTTAGGGTTTCCACTGAAGCCTTCAAGGGACTGCCGCACGTGTGGAGGCTCGGACTGCATGACAACAATTTAACAATTTTGCCTGATGGTCTGTTCCATTCTCTTCCAGAACTCGTCGACCTTGATTTAAGTCACAACAAAATTGCGACACTGGACTTTGAAACTTTTTCCAAAAACCCAAAGATGAAATTGTTATGGCTCCGTGACAATCCGTTGACTATGGTTTTGGCCATACCACTTAAGCAACTTATTCGTCTGGACCTGGCCAACTGTCGCCCACTGGAGGAGCTCCAAATGCACAGCGCCGAGACCTTGATCCTGACCAACAGCGGAGTAAGGAAATTGGATGTCGTGGGTAGCGTCAGCAAACTGTATGCTCGTAAGAACCGACTAAGATATCTCCAATTAGACGATAAGATGTCTATCATTGAGCTAACCCTGCATGATAACATGATGCAAACTAAAGAACTTAACAAAATCCTCCTGGGAATGTGGAGACTGCAACGCCTGGATCTCTCCTGCAATCTAATGAATGAGTTGCCTGTTCCCAACAGTGGCAATTCGGATGAGGTCTTCTTTTTGCCCAATCTTAAGTTTGTGAACCTGTCGAGCAATATGCTGGAATACCTCCATGGTGATTCGCCTCTGATGTCCCCCGCTCTTAACTATTTGGATCTGTCGCACAATAGGATACGTATTTTGGATCCACATATCTTCAAGATGGTCAATAATCTGCAGTACCTGCACATTGAGTGGAACCAAATCAGGGACTTTAGATACGATAGCCTCTATAAACAACAGCGGGGTCTTAAATTAGTGACACTTTTCAACAATTTATTCAGCAACGGAACTTACGTCACCATTACTAAATTCTTTATGAACGCTGGAGTGCATGTAAACGAAAGCAACCAAGATCAACCGGAAGTAAGTTACACGACAGTTAGTTCCATGGATAATTATGAGCTGTCATTACCGGATGAGGGTTTAATGGAAGTGAAAGCCCAGTTAACAGAGACTTCTGAGACAAAACCTCAGAAACGGAAGCTTAATGATCCACCACATCAAGGGCCCAAAGTAGAAGACACTATTCAAAAGTGGACCTTGTTTGATTACCTGATCTTTATTGTACTGCTTGCTGCGCTGACTCTTAATGTATTCCTAATCGTACAGCTCCGTCGGTCCCAAAACTGCTTGACTTCGATTTCTCGCATTTGGGACATAAAAGGGATTTCCAAAATGCAAGCCAAGTTTGTCAGCATGGAAGACCCCGAAGTATAAATCATGAATATTTAACTATAAAAGAGTTATTTAATAACAGTACGAAAAAATACATAATGAATAAGTTTCTGCACTTGCACACAAAAGTAGTTTCTCTCTCTTTTCTGGATCTTTCCTGCAACCTTTTCTATGAGTTACCAAGAGGGACAATTCCAGTGAGGTCTTTCTACTCCCCTCTTTACAATTTGTGAATTTATCGTTCAATATGGTAGAGTATTATTTATTTATGTTAATCTTCCTTTCAGTTTACTACTAACTGCGGTAATGTTAGTTTCTTTATTTTGAGAACCCGCCTATTAAACTTCCATAAAGCTCAGAGAGCTTGAGATCTTATAAATTTGACCTATGAAATAAATATTGCGATCCCTTTATATCTCTATCTACTGCACAAAGTGAACCTGCGTTTATTGTTATTTACACAATACAATTCCCGTCAATTGATTTTAAAGCACAAAGCTCTAAGCCTCAGATAGAATCTGAGATTCATGTGCGCCTCTCAGAATCTCGTTGCAACTGTTTCATTAAGGGACTGATAAGAAATGGAAAAATAAGTCGGACTGCGAAATAAAATATAAATGGATAGTTTTCCTTATCTCTTGCTGGTGGCAGCTGTTGCTGTGATGGCTACCACCGAATCCGAACATCCCTGCGAAGGATACAATTGCACCAGTACAGAGATATCTACGTATAATGACGATCTGTTGGAACTCGCTCTGGACTCCTGCAGCAACCTAGGAGTGCTAAAAGGCTCACCCAAACTTGAAATGTTGATGATAAACAATTGCAGCAGTGGTGACCTCCACAACCTTCCCTCTTTACCGAAACTTTGCTATTTGCGGATCCGAAACGGCAATATTACCGAGCTAAGTGACGAACAGTTTGCCATGATGACGATATTGGACACTGTCGAGCTGGGAAATAACTCCATATCTAGGGTATCCATTGAAGCCTTCAAGGGACTGTCCCACGTGTGGAGGCTCGGACTGCAGGACAATGATTTAACAATTTTGCCTGATGGTGTGTTCCATTCTCTTCCAGAACTCGTCGACCTTAATTTAAATCGCAACAAACTTGCGACTCTGGAGTTTAAAACTTTTTCTAAGAACCCAAAGATGAAGTATTTATGGCTTCGTGATAATCCGTTGACTATGGTTTTGGCCATTCCACTAAAGCAACTTATTCGTCTGGACCTGGCCAACTGTCGCCCACTGGAGGAGCTGCAAATGCACACTGCCGAGACCGTGATCCTATCCAACAGCGGGGTAAGGAAACTGGATGTCGTGGGTAGCGTCAGCAAATTGTATGCTCGTAAGAATCGACTAAGATATCTTCAATTAGACGATAAGATGTCTATCATTGAGCTGGACCTGAGTGATAACATGATGCAAACTAAAGAACTGCACAAAATCCTCCTGGGAATGTGGAGACTGCAACGCCTGGATCTCTCCTGCAATCTAATGAATGAGTTGCCTGTTCCCAACAGTGGCAATTCGGATGAGGTCTTCTTTTTGCCCAATCTGAGGTTCGTGAACCTTTCAAGCAATATGCTGGAATACCTCCATGGTGATTCACCTCTGATGTCCCCCGCTCTTTACTATTTGGATCTGTCGCACAATAAGATACGTATTTTGGATCCACATATCTTCAAGATGGTCAATAATCTGCAGTACCTGCACATTGAGTGGAACCAAATCAGGGAATTTAGATACGATAGCCTCTACAAACAACAGCGGGGTCTTAAATTAGTAATACTTTTCAACAATTTATTCAGCAACGAAACTTACGTCACCATGACCAAATTCTTTAAGGACTCTGGAGTGCGTGTAATAGAAAGAACCCAGGATCAACCGGAAGTAAGTTACACAACAGTTAGTTCCATGGATAATTATGAGCTGTCATTACCGGATGAGGTCCCCATGGAAGTAAAAGCCCAGTTAATACAGACTTCTGAGCCAACACCCCAGAAAAAAAAACTTGATGGTCCACCACACAAAGAGCCCAAAGTACAAGACACTATTCAAAAATGGACCTTGTTTGATTACCTGATCTTTATTGTACTGCTTGCTGCGCTGACTCTTAATGTATTCCTAATCGTACAGCTCCGTCGGTCCCAAAACTGCTTGACTTTGCTCTCTCGCTTTTGGGAGTCAAAAGGTTTTTCCAAAATGCAAGCCAAGTTTGTCAGCATGGAAGACCCCGAAGTATAAGTCATGAATTTTAATCTTAAACTATAACAGAGTTATTTAATTACAGTATGAGAAAATACATAATGTTTATGTTTATGCACTTGAAAACAAAAATAGTTTTTCTCTCTTATTTCTTGTATCAAATAGGTGGGGTTCTATAGAAGCATATATGCTTTAATACTTAATCGTGCGATGATAACTTCCAAAGTTGAACAACAAAATTTAGTTTCCCCAATTAAGTATTTTAAAAATCCCGGCTAGAAGTTTTAATTTTTGAATGCGCGCCATAATCGAATAGAAAGACTGAATGGGATCTGATCTATCGATACTTTATATGTATTCGTTTAAAGCAGCTGATTAGTTTATTCAGCTTTTAGTTGGCTAGCTAAAACGTACAAATTATGACTGTCAGCTTGGAACTGCTTTAAACAAATAGATTCCAAAAGTAAAACAACAAATTTTAAACATAAGGTATTTAAACTAATAAACAGTTTCCATGCTCATAACTATATCTGGCTCTTGAATTTTAGCTGGAACCCAGAAACCACGTAGCCCTTCAACAGATCGTCAACTTTTAAAAATAGATTATGTTTATTCTTTATCTCCTGCTCGTTTCGGCAATCTCTGTCTTGGGAAGCGAAGATGCTGGGATCGAGGTTAAAGACTTCCAGTCACTCTCAGCCATTTCTGAACATAAACTTAGAATCGAGCGAGAACTTCAGAGTGATGGTTCGACCAAACCCCAACCCGATCTTCAACCCACTCCCTACCCTCAACGCAACCCCCTGCACAATCCTCAAACCAATCCCCAAATTAATCCCCAAAGCAATCCTCAAAGCAATCCCCCAATAAAACCACAACCCAACGCCCTACCCGATCCTCAACCCGATCCTCAACCCGATCCCCAACCCGATCCCCAACCCGATCCTCAGCCCAAAAAGAAGCTGCACATGTGGACCGTCTATGACAGCCTCATGGTAATCTTCCTGATCCTGGTGCTGATATATGTGAGAAGGAAGCTGTATAATAAAGAAGGGGACAACTGCTGCTTTGGATGCAAGTGGGGACGGCTAAGAAATGAAAGACCTGAGGCCAGGATCGAGATCCTTAATCATCAAGAATCGGGCAATTTACTTTAGGAGTAATAATTTCTTAAAAAGAAATATTTTAACATATCTTCTTATTTTAATAAAACGTGTTTTTAATTTATTACTGTATACACTATTTATAAATTGGAATATGTTTACTGTTGGTCGTGGGTAATCGAAGCTATTATTCATATAATTATTCTTCTATCGAATACCCTCTAAATGATTTTATTTAAAGAGTCACCTTTTAAAAACCAATAAATAAGTGTACCCAATTATGAAGATTTAATTTATAACTCTTTTGTTTATTCTTTATAATCACATTAAAACCGATAAGTTATGGATCTTAATTTAGAAAATCTAAAGAAATTACTAGGAGTCAATAAGCTTGGTCCACCCAGATTTTTGAGTCTCGACTTGAGTTATCGCTGGCAACATGCTGAGCAGCTTTACTTTGTTGTGATCAGCAAAGCTTCCCGGGGGCTTTACATCATCCACTATCAGCAGTGGGTAACGCTCCACTCTACCCGCCCATCCAACAATCCAGATGATAAGGAAATGATGCTGATGCCGCTCTCTACTCGACTTCAGTGCATTATTAGCGGTCTGACAAAGCGCGAGCAAAGTGAATAGCATTCAACAAATACAAATAATATGAATTTGTATATATATATTTTGCTTGGATTTTGCGGTGTGGAGTTGGGAAATGCACTTTCCGTTTACGACTCCTCTGGACGCTTGAATCTGAGTGCCAGTTGTCCTGATTCCTTCTGCAATTTGAGTGATCGGCGAGTGGCCTATGCTGCAACTCCGGCCCTTGGACTCAGGGAACTGCACCTGACGAACTGCAGCCGAGAGTCGATCACCTGGCTGGTCCTGAACCTAACTCCCGGTCTCAGGACCCTGGTCATCCGGAACTGTGCCTCCTATCACATCAGCAAGCAGAGTCTGAAGCCGGTGGGCAATCTCACCTCCCTAAAGATGCAGCAGACGAGTCTCGGTGTCCTCCGGGATGAGGTCTTCAGCACGGTGCCCCGTCTGGAGATCCTGGAACTAGGTCAAAACATCATACATACGGTGCACACGGGCGCCTTCAAAGGATTAACCAGACTGCGACTACTTGGCCTGCAAGGCAATGGAATTCAGGAGATCCTCTCCAGCACCTTCGATCCGCTGGTGGAGCTGGTTCATCTGGACTTAAGCCACAATCAGCTAACCAATTTGCCAAAAGATATCTTCTCTAAAAACGGAAAAATACAAACTTTGCTTCTGAATGGCAACCAACTGAGGACACTACCTCCGGATATTATGAGCTCCTTGCCCAATCTTCGACTGCTCGACATGGGCCATACTGGCGAACTGGAAATTCTAACGCTGGACCTCCAAAACATCCAGAGCCTAATCTTGGAGGGCAGTGGACTCACCAGTTTGGTCATCAACGGAGAACTTATCAAGCTTCAGGCAGGCAACAATGAGCTGAATAATCTGCATGTGGGAAACAAGAGCTCTGTCATCGAGTTGGATCTCCATGGTAATTTGCTAAATGGAAATGATACTGCCGGGTTCCTTAGAGGCATGTGGAATCTGGAGAGACTGGATCTGTCCAAGAACATTATTGAATCTTTGCCGCTTCATGGCAGTCCTTCGGATGATCCACATGCCCAGGAGCTGTTCCTTTTGCCCAGCTTGAAGTACCTGAACTTGGCCAACAATCGACTGGTTCGCTTGCCTCCGGACTCGCCAATCCTCTCAGCCCGTCTCAACCATTTGGACTTGTCCCACAATCTGATCCTAACCCTGGATGTGGAGATATTGAGGGGTCTGCCGGTTCTGGAAGCTCTTTTCATCGAGGGAAACCGCCTGAATACCTTCGACTACCAGGTTTTGCATCAACAGCACGAGGATCTCAAGGAGCTGGGACTGCATGACAATCCGTGGGGTCCTGGTCTATACCGCAAGATGTTCATGTACCTCAACGATCGAGGGGTACACCTGCAGGCGAGGACTCAAAACAGATCCGAAAAGAGATCAGTCAGGTGGACATCGATTGGCCACCCAGTGAAAGTCAGGCGGAGGCCCAGAAAATGGATCCTGCAGGAGTGTCTGGCATACATCCCTACTGGACCACAAAGGATATCCTAGCTTTTGTCACCCTGCTGGTGGTGCTGATCATTCTGCTGATGAATCTCTACCACATCCTGCAGGAGGAGGGCTGTCTGCGGCGGATTCGCCATTGGAGGAGGTCCCATTTCGTTGGATCCGCGACCAGGAGCAATGGACAACGCCTCAACGAGCAGGACTCCGAAGTATGAGCCTGGTCACCTCTTTGGCTTAATCGCTTATCCTTTCTCCGTTTCCCAAAACAGCACAGCTCCAGTGAATAGAGGGGACATGTAGCCACGCTGCCCAGCAAGCCAAATAAACGCCAATTCGATGTCAATTTAGCGCTAGTGTTTTCCTTTTTCCAAAGCGTGTTGTGGCTGTATCTGCTGTCGCTGCTCACTTACTTGTTTGCGGGTATCATGTGCTACCCTGCACTTATGAGTATGATGAAAGATGGCTGCTATTGGATACTATTTATATATGCAAAGCATGTACACATTGTATTAGTTATCAAAATGATGCCCACACGAAAATCTTAAAAATAAATCTCATCGTTGTTACCATAAGAGTACAATATACAAAAATTGTCTAATTGAGTTTTGCTTATATAAAGTAATCGGCCTTATAATCAGGCCTATCAAAAATAATGTACATGTGCTTAAGGTTTTGACTTACAAGTTTTTAAATAAGTTCAGGGCATTTTAAAGATTTGTAAAGATTATTTATACTCCATACATTCCATAATAATAAGCAAAGGCTTACTTTTCTCATAATAAAACTAATTTAAACAGGGTATAACCTTGGTCGTGTCTCTCACAAAAGCAAGATCTATACATTTTGCATATGAAATCTTAGTACCGAGGGGACAGAATCAATGTCCATCTTAGAGCGGGAAAATGCAGTGAAGAGAAGAGTAAAGAAAAATGCACTGCAAAATATTAAAAAGTTGTATTCATTATACTTGGGAAAAAAATTAAAATTAAAAAAAAAAAAAAAAATAAAAAAAAAAAACCCCCCCCCCCCCCCCCCCCTTCCCTCCCCCCCTTTTCTCCCTTTTAAAATTTTAAAAAAATTAAATAAAAAAAAATTAATTTTTTTTAAAAAAAAAAAAAAAAAAAAAAAAAAAAAAAAAAAAAAAAAAAAAAAAAAAAAAAAAAAAAAAAATTTTTTTTTTTTTTAAAAAAATAAAATTTTTTTTTTTTTTTTTTAAAAAAAAAAAAAAAAAAAAAAAAAAAAAAAAAAAAAAAAAAAAAAAAAAAAAAAAAAAAAAAAAAAAAAAAAAAAAAAAATTTTTTTTTTTTAAAAATTAAAAAATTTTTTTTTTTTTTTTTTTTTTTAAAAAAAAAAAAAAAAAAAAAAAAAAAAAAAAAAAAAAAAAAAAAAAAAAAAAAAAAAAAAAAAAAAAAAAAAAAAAAAATTTTTTTTTTTTAAAAAAAAAAAAATTTTAAAAAAAAAAAAAAAAAAAAAAAAAAAAAAAAAAAAAAAAAAAAAAAAAAAAAAAAAAAAAAAAAAAAAAAAAAAAAAAAAAAAAAATTTTTTTTATTAAAAAAGAAAAAGATTTAAGTTTAAAAGTTTATTAATGGGAGAGAAAATTTGTTTAAAGAATTATAAATGTTACTGAATAAATAATACAAATAAATCCTAAAAGAATCCTCTTCTAGTCGAAAGTAATCATTTATTTTGTTCTGGGCAGTGCCTATAATATTTTCTTTCTGTGTAGAGAGGAGCACTCCAGACCAGTCGAACAAGATGAACTTACAAGATTCGAACAAAATACGAATTTAATTCAAAATAATTGCACGGCATGCACAGGAGGACATGTGGATGTGGCTCTTTGGGCCAAGACTTAACTAGTCTTGGCCTGAAGTTGGCCAAAAGAAGGAGTTAAGAAAGGGGGTACAGAGGGGAAAAGTTGTGGACCTGGTTGAACATGGACTTTTCCGCCTTCGTTGCACTTCTTGCATGTTTCCTTCGAGGCCGTGGATTTGTGGCGTTTGCATTTGCGTAGACCTTGCCACAATCCAACATATATGTATATATATATATGTATATGCAGGTATTATAAGGCCGACTTGCCCCGCCCCCCGCCCCTCAAAGCCGAGGGTACCTATCAACATGTTTTTGGGTGGAAATTCTGCCCGTGTTTATGTTTGGGGGTCTCTCCTCGGTGGATTTTGATAGGGCATCGCAATTTCTGAGAAATTGTATTTTGATTTATTTATAATGTTGCAGCGACATGCACATGCACATTGTTGTTGCATTTTCGATTGTTGTTACTGTATATGGCTTGTTGTTGTCGGTTTTAGTGGGCATGCGAATCAAATCATTTTGATTAAATTAGAAATATGCAAATTATGTGCAGCTCATTAATTATGCACCAGCAGATGATTTGGTCAAGGCGATAAGAAAGACCAAGAGAATGAGACCGAGAGAGACAGGGAGCTGGAGAAGAAGAGAGACAGGGAGTTGGGGAGAGAGTGGGATGAAAGCATCATCGATTGAGTGCCAAATCGCTTGGCAATTAAATAACTTCACACCGCGCGCTAAGTGGGCGTGGCCGGGGACGCCCACACACGCCCGAAAATTTCGCATTTGAAATGTAAAGCGCACGCGGCTTTTCTGTGAAAAATATTTCAACGATTTGTAAAAAATCGAAGGGCAATAAATGCATTTTTATCCCTCAATTCTCTGGTTTCGAAAGGGGTGTAATCGCAGGGTATATTGGTTTAATGGGATTCTGGTAGCCCTAAGATCAAAAAGTATATACAATAGGGCTAAAATATAAACAATTTACGTGCACATCTGTGGAAATAAATCAAATTGTAACTACTTAAAGAGCTGCTAATGGCTTGATATTACTTTTTTTTTGGGAATTTTATATCGGGTGAAACCAGAATTGAAACTATTATGACCTTTAGAAGTTGTGGTTAAAGTCTTTATTTTGGTTTGGTGTTTCATGTTATCTGTTGTAAATTACATTAGCATATTATTCTATTCACTTAGCTTAAGCTGATCATCAGAAAATA